AAAACGTAAAATTGAAACAACTCCGTATTATTCCATTATCCCCAACCGAAACTACATAAATAGACAAACCTACTGAATTTATAATTTTTTTCTTATTTAACTACTTTGTCGGATTTAATCTGTATCTTCAAAACAAATACATATAAACACACACACACGCACATATATGAACACACACACACACACACGCACATATATGAACACACACACACACATATATATATATGCACACACACACACACACATATATATATATGCACACACACACATTTAGTATTATAAAGGTTATTATAGCTTATACACGTATTTGAATAGATATTTCCGATTATTTTTTTTTAAAGATAAGTGTGAAACTGATAACAACCGACTTTGACAGAATTTTAATAAAGAAAATCTTCGTATAAAATGTTCAATGTTTAATTTCATTGTTTCTTTAAAAAGTGGGATATCTACCGAAACACATGTATCCAATAAATGAGTTATATTCATAAAGAACACACACATACACACACACACACACACACACACACATATATATATATATATATATATATATATATATATATATATACATACATAATGAAATAGTGCTCGATGGAAATAAGAGCTAAAATTTTATTAAATATATATAATTTTCACCACACCAGTAACACACCTGACTCGATTGTGTTACCGTTGAGGGTATATATATATATATAGGTAACTATACTCGTTTCGAAAAACCTTCGAATTTTTGATTTGCCAATAATCAAATCAATTTTGAGGGAAAAAAGGTTTTAAAAAAAGAAAGATCTAGAAACATGAATGTCTGTCGAAAAAATTCGCACAGATACAGGTTTGAAGCCCAAAGAAAAAAAAAACCGACACGAGTAAACAACTAACAAAAGAGCTCAATTACAACCGTAGAGCAGTCGTTGAATAAATCTTTAACCCCCCCGCCCCCGGTGTTCTTGTAGTTTTCTTCTTCTTTGGTCACGTGGTATGATTTTGATTATCGCCTATAAATATGCTGTTTCTCTTTTGCCTCTTTAGCCAGCTTTCTCTGACGATCCGCTTAGGTGAAACCTGGGTAGGTTTGTCTGGCTCACTAGGTTTATATATATATATATATATATATATATATATATATATTATACGAAACGTTTTCATTTCTTTTATATTATTAAGTCAATTTATTATGGAATGTAAAGCTATCAACAAAATAATTTTTTTCGCCGTTTGTCTTTTTTATTATTCGTTTCTCTCATTCAGTTCTTTCACGTTGTTTGCATTTCATGAATTCTGAATACCAAGTTTCATTCAAATTCATTAGAAGTTCTTTTTATCAGCTGTACATTTCAAGTGGTTTTCATTTTCACCTGTAATTAGGCATGGACACATAGAGGAGAGGCCTGACTGGACTTTCCCTTCCTCCTTTCTTTCACCCTACCCAGATACAATTTCGTCTTAATTTTTAACACTACTAAATATTCTATTGTTTTCCTTGTGGCGTTCCAGGCGAGGGGAATACAATTTGCTTTACTTTCCCTCCCTGAAACAGTTGCAAGTTTAAACAACCGTGTACTTTGTTTTCCTATGCTTTACTCTGTCCCTTTTTCACGATGTTGACAATCATTTTATCCATGTGTGTGTTTGACTGTGAATAGAGCAACGCGTACGGGTCTAGGCCAACCACATCTGCTAAATATGATCTCAAGGAGGCGTCAGCATCATAAGACGTGGTTCTCAGTTTCGTATGTTTCCCTGAGACGCAATATCTATTGCTAAAGGCTGTTGTATGATACGCACGTACCACTTCTTGCAGAACGAGTAGACAGATTAAATCCGCAAAACTGACAACATTATTTTGGACGCTGTTGGATTGGAATAGAGAACCAACTTTCAATACCAGATCATATCTGTTCAAGCAATATATTCCTCATAATTAGATCTTTAAGTTATATCAACATCTCCCCGCCTGCTATTCTTAAGTGAACTTTCATAATAACTCCGCCTCATACTTGCTTATACCCGTTTCATCTTAACCTTTATTTCTGTCATTTTAAGGTTTGGTTGCTTTCTGTGTCTTTGTACTGTATGCCACTAAGGAGCTCCCCTTGACTTGAATTAAACAGAATAAACTTTAAGTTCAGAAGTCTATAGGTGTCCGATTAAGAATTACGTTCTAAAAATAAAGAAGGTACATATCAGACTAAAAGTGACGAAATCAACAATATACACATACATAAAAAATAAAATCGTCAAATCATTTCAAATTCCGTTTCTTTCATTTCGCACCATTAGACTTGGAAAAGGCAGTGGATTCATTGCACCCACCCATTTAGGGGAAAAATAGCAAAGGCAGACTCGATTTTCTTGCTTTGGATGGCAGCTAGTGTAGAAGAAAAACACTGAAGATTTCTAAAAGACTGTACATATTTTCTCTGTCATATTATTTCTTCCGAAATATGTCGCTGGTTCTACAAAAGCTTTCACCACTATAATCAAATCATCTATGTGAGTAATGTGGCGATTTACTTCTAAACTGGACAAATGTAACCCCGTATTTCGAAATCTTCGGGAGAATAAGAATTTAATGTCAGAAGAACAAATTCTATATTGGTGATATTGTAAGTTTCATACCTCAAGTGATTATCAAATAGTTTAAAGATCACTTGAGCTGGGAAACTGCCAATCACCATGCAGTGCCAGTTTTTATGTTCATACTGTCTATACCTGCAAACGCTTTATCTCCGCTATTGAGCTCTTTTCTAGCTCTCTTCTATATAAATACCCAATTAAACCACTATTTAGTGAAATTACATCCATTTTCAGATTATTTTATGAACCACAGCCATCATATTATGGAAGAGTCATATTAAGTATATATGACGTTAATAATAAACAAAGTCATCGTCCTGTCAGTGTGAAAATTGATATTGTTATAAGTTTTAATAATGATTTATACAATATAACCTTAAAATGACCATATATATTCACACACTCATTTCTTATGTCTGTCGCTTAATATTTAGTCTTGTTTTTAAATTTAATTACGGAAATTTTGCCGAAATTAATAATATTGAACAAAAATCGAATGTGTAATCCATAACTCTTGTGTTTCTGTTTCATGAATGATGCCTAAACTAGTTATGCTTCCAAAACCGTCATGATAATGTCGAATTATCATTTAGACTTTTCCTAAAATAATTTTTTAAAAATTTTTCCTCCACACTGTATTAATAATAACTTAGCAGTAGTAATCATTGCAAATATTAAATCTTTTTAAGGTGATATTTTCGTTTATAGCAGAAACATCGTTTCTCTCTTACACCTCTTTTGTAACAGTTGCCTTCTCCTAAGCGAAACAAGAATTGTAGTTGTAAGACTTCCAAACTAGAAAATATATTTTTGCATCTTTATATTCACTTATTTATATAACAGTCTATATTTTTCTTTGACTCGCTTCGCCTCGCATCTTTAACACGTATAACGTTTGGTCTTCCTCATTTCCTTCTGTAATGCAACGAACCGTTCAACTGTCAAACCACTTATACATTCATCTACATATCTCGTCTCAGTTCCCTGTTTTTATGTCTAGCCACCCGTTCTACTCCGCCACTATTTAACCTACCTGCCCGTATGACCCCCGTCCACCTCCCTTCTCATACCCATGTTGTTTGTGTGCCTGTCAGAATAAGAGAGGTCCACACTAGGGATGTGATTAATAGTCCCGCTAGACACATGCCCCAGCTGACTTTCAAAACTAAGGAGGTTTGTCCGATTGATATTATAGTTCCTATAGTTTGCCCTTCACCGAAAAAGCACCCCACCTGAAAAAATATAAGAAAGTCACTATATATCCTGTGGCGAGTGTGGCCATTTGGAGTGCCTCAGTCAGCGCCGTATGCCGTTTAATGAAAAAACAACAGTTTTAAAATACGGAGAAACATCCTACAGCCGTTCTTTGCTTTTCCCGGTGTCACTATCAATCGAAGACTAAATATCCACGTCTGAAAGGAATCCGACATCGTTAGATCTTATTTGTCACATATACCTGTCATAATTGCAATATCTTGCGTATCCACTACATTTTCTAGTACGAAAGTTGCTGGTTTTCATGATATATCTTTGATTTGACCAGATAAACTTTAAAAAAAGCACCAAAAAATGATGACCTATAAACAGAAATGAGTTTTGAAAAGGCAGGGTTCAGTGTTTTTATTTAGGTAAAATTGTCGCATCTTTGATGTTGTAAAATATAGTTAATATTTCGTAGTACGTTTTTTATTTTATAGTTGATAGAATTTTTTTTTTTTAACTTTGTGGTAATAATCAATAGGTACTTGTCAAATACCGGATTAAAACTTTAGTACTGATAAGATTATCGCGTTTTTTTGTTTTTTTTTCGTTTGTCTTGCGATTTGATATATAAGTTAGCAGTTTTTATTTGTTTCTGTTTTCATAGTCACCTATCAAATGCTATCGCTACTCATAAAAATAGCAGGTTTTATGGAATATTTGGATAGGCTAAAATGAATATTTATCTACAAAATTATTTTCCAATGTAGCTTGTTCAGTTGTTTATGAAAATTAATTTATTTGGAAAAATACTTTCTGAAGAAAAAGTTCAAAAATGAAAAATCTAAGTGCTTCTAAATTGGGATGGGGGAGGGGTTCATTTACAAAGTGCGCGCAAATTCAAACTGGACCTTACTTCACGTCCTACACTAACATCGAATGTTCAATTTAAATATGTTGCTAAAATGGACTATTATTTCTGTCTTTATGCATATTTGTGTATATTTTTTAAGTAAAGAAATCAAAAAATTAAATTTCCGATTATACAGAAAAACAATAGGCCATTTTATTTTTCATAAATGTTTTTTAGGCATACATATTTTAAAATTGACGTTAGGTACTGACAACGAATACAGACAATTTGTATACAAGTATACACGAAATAAGGTACAGTTTATCATTATACTTACATTCGTAATCGAATAGCCCGCCTCTAATAGCTAATCCAGAATTAATTTCTCGACGAGATGATGATTCCGAGACTGTGACTGATAGATAGATCTGACGAGACCGTGTCTGACGGATAGGGAGAGACCGCGCGTGACAGACAGATAGGGAGAGACCGCGCGTGACTGACAGACAGATGTGACGAGAGCGTGACTGACAGACAGATGTGACGAGAGCGTGACTGACAGACAGATGTGACGAGAGCGTGACTGACAGACAGATGTGACGAGAGCGTGACTGACAGACAGATGTGACGAGAGCGTGACTGACAGACAGATGTGACGAGAGCGTGACTGACAGACAGATGTGACGAGAGCGTGACTGACAGACAGATGTGACGAGCGTGACTGACAGACAGATGTGACGAGAGCGTGACTGACAGACAGATGTGACGAGAGCGTGACTGACAGACAGATGTGACGAGAGCGTGACTGACAGACAGATGTGACGAGAGCGTGACTTATAATGGAACTTCTAACAGGCAAGATTTGACGTGGTTACAATTTAAGAGTAACACAGCTTCAAAGCAAATCTTAATAGCTGACTTGCTGCTTAGAAAAGCATACTATGTTTGTCTTCCAGCGGGTTCATTCATGCCACGCAGTAGGAGCGCCGTGGAGGCGTTAGAGGTCAGAGGTGAACGAATTTTAAATAGTTATTGCCTTCTTTGTTGTATTTTACTCTCCCCTTACCTATTCCCTAGATAGACTATCATAGTTTTTGCTTACCCTCACTGGTACTTACACTTGTACTTTGGATTTATTTGTCTTCTGTCCATTATTTAGAAACATATGCCGCTCCATCTACTGAGATACTATACAATTCACAGTAGTATTATGTTTATTTTATTTGAAGAATTGTCACCGTTAATTAATTCTTTATTTTAGTTGCATATTTTATTTTACAACTTGAATTCCAAGTTGTGAATGGAATTCTGAAACAGAATACAAGTTTTCGATGAGATTCAAACTCGCGTTACTTTTATTTCAGAGTAGCCTAGTTGAACGCAGCAGCTGCATTAATTGCTAAGCTAGATTTATTGACCGTTTTGTAGAACAAATTTAGCCTTTCTCATCATTCTATTCCACATTTTGTATCAGCACATTAAGCAGTAATTGTAGCAGTAGTATTATCGTTTTATTCCCTTTTATTAGTAGTAATATAGCGATCTAGCTTGCTAACCCATTAACGTTTCCTAATTTTAATTAGTCTTGTGCAATGCAAAAAAAATGCACTAAGTGATAATCAGACTCATAAAAATACCTTCAGCTTCAGCAACCTAGTTTGTCTTTATGCCCAAGTATCTATATATATAAAAAAAGTTGCCTTAATCGCCTAATCAATCAAATTTTTTAAAAAATCCTCTACACGTGACCATGATGTTCCCTCACTATTCCCGTTCATGAATAGAGGTGCATAATGCATATACCATCTTTATTCCCTAAGACAAAATATATGTTAACACACCCAATCAATTAAAAATTAGGATTCAAAAGATATGAGTTATATCTGGTGTAGCATCGGGGCATTTATTATTGTTATTGAAATTAACACATTGGTGGTTTAAACTTCGGGAATAATTTAAATTAGCACTCTGTCAAGTCTCAAGACCTCATACTGCAAGCACTTTCCGCACGATATTTGCGGTTCCGAAGCTAGTTGTTTTTTTTTTTTAGTTTTTGCAATGTTATTATGTTGGATGTAGTATCAAAGTGTTTCTGTCGATTCTTTGGCGTCGATCCAAGAACTCCAGTGACAACTGGCTCAACCTTGGCATCTACATTACAATTAGATCCTTTGGGCCGACACCTAAGAATCTCCAGAAACATCTTGATATTATCGAAATTCAGTGAAAGTAAAAAGATCCTCAAATCTCCAGTACCTTCCTGATCATTCTGAAAAGTTTCAGCACCACATTGATTTAAAAGGTTTCAAATCTTCCTGAATTTATGATCTATTTAATTCTAACACCTTTGATATAATTGAAAGTGCATCAGTTTATTATTTACAGGAAACTAACCTCCATAGTCATCATTTTCGGTCAAATTCCTGGTATTTTTTTTTAGTTTTTCACTTTTTATCGGCTTTAACATGTGTTCCATTGACACAAGTCATGCCCGATGATTTGATTTCTCCTATGTCATTTGTTTACAAGTAACAGATCCAGTTGTCTCCTTGTTCATCTGTATGCCCATAATCATATTTCACTGGGTTATACTTGTATTTTCAGATGGATTGTCTTCTCTAGCTTTATGATGCAATTTTTCCGCACAATTAATAGCGAATCACCCTTCAATTCTTAATACGGAAGAGCAGGGATATGATAATGTCTATTATCTTTTTCGTTCTTAAAGTCTTTCAATTAATAGCATCATTTCGTCTTAATGAAATAACAGGAGTAACTTTTTTAACTAGCTTAATAAATTACCACAATATTTATTCTGTGATGTATAAGACATTGTATTAATGGAGTTTTAATAAGGTGCAGATATTATGCGTATGTACATTTTCGTCAAGAATGTTTTGATTCTGTCATAAAAGCCAAAAGAAACCGTAATTCTCTGCGAAAATGTGCTAGGATATAGCTCACAGTTCTTTCAAGAATTAAGACGGAAGTAAAGATTGCCCATGGTACTTGGAAAATCACGAAAATGAATTTATATACATCAGTTTAATAGAAGTGAAATGACATGTTATGGCTAAAGGAAGCAAGAAAATTGAGACTGTTTTGAGGTGATGACATGAAATGTTTGGAACCACTTCAATTTTTATAGAATGGTTACGACTGGACGGAAGATACAAAACCATTTTTTTCAATTAGTTTGCTTTAGTGGTTCTTCAACAATCAACAAAGGCATTTACAAGTTTGTGGTCTGCGAGGGTCTCTAATGTCAATATTTGTCGTAAAATGGTTTTTTACGTTGACTTTAACAGTAAGTGAAAGGCAGGAGCCTCTCAAAACCAGATGCAAGAAACACTTGAGTTGGTTTAGGGAAACACATGGCTTGTTCCGCTATGTACAGTTCCATACCCCACACGTAAATCATTTGTTTATCTTTCTTCTAATATATTTTACTATTCTTGTTAGCCTTATAAACTTATTTGTTTAACAAAAGGCAAATGGATTACTTCATTGTTTGTAACAAACTTGGTCTTAGCGAAATAATTTCATAAGGCTGGTTGATCTTTTTTGTAATTGCCACAGCTTAATCTGTGAATAAATCAAATTGTTTTCGCATGTTTAGTTTTGTTTCATGCTTGTAAATAAATTTATAACCCAGGAAGAGATTTTCAGGAAACATTGCTGTTAGACGAGATATGAATACTTTACTTTAAATCACAGCATTTATTTCAAAATGGATTAAAATATTTTTATTTTGTTTTAAGTTTTGCCGGAAAAGTGTAATGTGCATGAAACAAAAGAATGCGACTCAAATAGCATAACTCATTTCCATTAGGGTTTCTTTGTGCTTTAATCTGAATGAAACAATGTTATTTAAACAAAACAAATAAAAAACAGAGCATATGCTCGAATAAAGTCTTTAATCAAACTAATATTAAAATAATGGCATAGTTATTAATATATTTCCTGCTTTTCAGTTCACAGATAAAAAAAAAATCAGTTGCTTGATGTTTTCACCATTTCCATGTAATTGGAAGAATTTCAGACGGATCCAATTGTACTTAAGATCGGATTGGCCTAAATCTGAAAACATCAAATATTCGTCCAAAATTTTCTCCCCATTTTTCCTTAAAGCTAGATTAGATGAAAACGGATTATGTTAATTCGCTGTGAAGTTTCCAAGTGATACCAAAACTTTATTTATTTCTTTAATCATTTATTTTATTATGAGTAATATTTGGAGGGATTGAATAATGTTGCATTATTTTTAGTCGTTAAGAATTTATGAAAACAGATTAAAGAATGATAGCTTATTATTATTATTATTCACTTAGTTTATTTTTACACTAGTTCTTAAGTAAATATTTCTTGGTGATCACGTAATAAGCATTCGCATAATTCCATTTCTCTTTAATACGTTTGCCGATTTCAATAATTTTCTTTTGATGGTTTTAATTAATTTCCAGTATTCTAATTCCTCTACTCCTTTTGAAGTGTTTCAAGTGTTCCATTAATGATGAGCACAGCTGTCTTTTTTATATTCAGTAATATTTTCTTGGTTGAACTTATAACTTTTCAGCACCCTTCGTATTATCTTGGGAAATATACGAAAATTTAGTCATCACCATCATAATCATTATTTGGTTGATGTAATAATTCTCAGCGTCATCTTCTTCATGTGGTTAAAGAACATAAAGTACTACTAATACTCTAATAGCTTCATGTCTCGCACCTCTCGCCTGTGGAACTCAATTTCCTATTCCAGTTTCCCTGAGAGCTATAATCAGCTATTCAAGTGTAATGTCAATCGACATCTCCATTTGCCTTGATCTATCCACTATCCTTCTCCTCATACCCTCTTCTATCACTCCTATCTGATCTCGCTCTATTTTTTCTGTAACCCCTTGCGTCCTGGTGGCTTCCCGCCTTGCTTGGGGTGAAATGCTTAAAAAAAAAATCTTTGAAATTTATTCAAATGTTTGTATGTGCCAACAATTCCTTTCAAGAAAGTTGCTGAAGAGTGATGATGGAAATTATCACTGAATTTTCAAAACTATTTACTTTAATAGGAGAGAAAATACACTTAGAGTTAAGTAATGAATGAATCTTATAATAATGAGAAGGTGCAAGCATGCGCCAGGAAGGATTTGCAAAATTTATAAAAAGGAGGTTTTAAGTTACAAATACTCTGAAATGCTACAAGACTCAAAAAGCAATGAATAGAAGTAACTTTAAATACAAACAAGTAAACCTAAAAGAAAAAATGTAAATCTATGAACTCGTATGAATGATATTTGAACAGAAAACATCTCATCAAGAAGAAAAAAAGGAAATCAAGATAATTTTACTTCATAACAATACTTGTTTTCTTGTTACAAAAAAATATAGGAAAAGACTGGGAATTTCTTCAAAATACGTCGTATTCTCTACATCTGCCCATATTTAGAATATCATTTGTGTTCCTCCATGAAACTCTCGCTGTCTGGGTCTTAGTTCCGACAAATTTAAGATATTGAAAGTTTCTTCGAAAATTGACCTAATGAAAAGTGGTGTTATTATTTTACAATCGTTATAAACAATTCAGTTGAAAGATAACTAAAAGTCATTGAAAGACCGTGAAAATACGTTAAATACTGATGAGTGATACCAGATATTTATATAAATATATTATTTTTCTGAAAAGATGTTACAAATTTTTGCATCAACTTAATAATCTATCAAAGCTGTTATCATTTCGTTTGATCTTCTGTCACACTAAAGGAAAGAAATAGGAAGTCGTTACTAAGACATACCGTGTTCTCTGGGGGTCGACATCTAATGTGTGTAGTATAATTACCACGTCTGATGAGGGCGTCTATTTTTTTTGAAATTCTTTTTAAAAATGATTGATATATGTATGCATACAGTGATTCGACCATGAAATCCAGGTTCGAATCTCACCATGCTTGATTTGTCAGAAAGGAAATATTTTAGTCTATCTAAGTGATTCTAGCCAGCGGCAACTTTGGAAAGTGCTTGAAAACAATGTCACGCGTTGCCCCAAACCTTGTGAGTGAAACTTGGTAGACGAAGATATTTGTCATCGTGACCGA